AATGATTGATGACATATATGTATCTAAAAAAAATATTGGCAGATGTTGGCCCTGATGCTCAGCTGAACAGCATAGCTTATTGAATTTAATAAGTTATATTCGCTTATGCCAGCTGCGGATCTGGCCCCAGTGAGTCTGGGAATGTTTTAATGTGTTAAGGATGCTTTTAGTTTGTTTTCCTGTTTTGATTTTTCATTGATACTTTTCCTTCTCCCCATTTTTTGGAAATACCCTCAATTCAAGAAAGCAAAGGGAAACATGTTTGATACATGCAACGTATCAAGGTTTATCAAAGGCTTATCAAAGCTTGCATTTTTTTTGGTAATTATTGAGTAATGATTTTTTTACAACACCTGAAATATAAAGAGTTTTATAACTCTTATAACTGAAATATAAAGAGTTTAAAGTTATGATTAAGAAATGTTGGAATTAGATATTTTTGTTAAAATAGTCCAGATGACAAATACGCATTTAGTATACCTGAACAAGACTTTGAGGTATCCAGGACTCGCATCCAAATAGAAAAGAAGTGGCCCTGAAATGCCATATTTTCTTGCATACGGTATTTCCCCAAAGATAATATGCACCTTGTTTTTGAAAGGCAAGAATGAAGAAAAAAGATTTTCTGGAGTTCTGACTGCATAGAGCAGGGACAGAGCCTAATCTTCAGCTGACTCACTCTCCCTTTCCTTCATAGCTAAAACAGAATCCCTAGTTGCTGCTGAGGACTCATCTCCATGGTTGGAACCATGATTTTGAAAACAGCTAAAGTGTCTGTACAATAGAGAGACCAGAAGCAGGTGGCAGACATCAAAATTGTCCTAAGAAAGGTTAGCTTGGTTAATGGAATATTATCAAGACCCATTAAAAAGAAAAAAAGATCAACTCATTATCGAGTAAAGAACAATATCCCCCCCTCATTAAATCACTTGATCCCCCTTAACTGCCCGAAAAGTAATACCACAGCTGCTGTACCATAGAGCATGATGCTTCCAACCTTGGGCAGAAAGTCAGCTTCTTCGCTTAATACATAACCCCCAATTTTGGGAGGCTGATTTGTAGGG